ACTTGTGATCTCTATCAAATAAATAAATAAAATCTTAAAAAAAAAAATTAACAAAAGTTAACCGCAATGACTTAGATATTGTGCCTTAATTTCCTCCTCTATAAAAATGTTGATGATATCAGTATTTTAGAGTTTTTATAACAATTAAGTGAGACAACCCAATGCAAACTGCTTATGACATTGCCGGACAAGTTCTAAGAGCTCAGCATGTTTTAGCTGGCTTTATATAAGGTACCAATGTCATTTTCCATAAGAAATGAGCTTGGGGTTGGGGCGCCTGGGTGGCTCAGTGGTTTAAGCCTCTGCCTTCGGCTCGGGTCATGATCTCAGGGTCCTGGGATCGAGCCCCGCATCGGGCTCTCTGCTCAGCGGGGAGCCTGCTTCCCTTCTTCTCTCTCTGCCTGCCTGTCTGCCTACTTGTGATCTCTGCCTGTCAAATAAATAAATAAAATCTCTTAAAAAAAAAAAAAAAAAAAGAAATGAGCTTGGGGGACGCCTGGGTGGCTCAGTTGGTTGAGCAGCTGCCTTCGGCTCAGGTCATGATCCCAGCGTCCTGGGATCGAGTCCCACATCGGGCTCCTTGCTCATCAGGGAGCCTGCTTCTCCCTCTGCCTCTGCCTGCCATTCTGTCTGCCTGTGCTTGCTCTCTCTCCCTCTCTCTCTCTGACAAATAAATAAATAAAATCTTTAAAAAAAAAAAAAAAAAAAAAAAGAAATGAGCTTGGTGGTTCAGTTAAGTGTCTGACTCTTGGTTTCAGCTCAGGTCATGATGTGGGGGGTGGCTGGGACCCAACCCTGCTCAGCAGGAAGTCTGCTTCTCCCTCTCCCTCTGCTCCTCCCTGGGCTCTTGCTTGTGTTCTCTCTCTCTCTCTATTGCGTTCTCTTTCAAAAAAATAAAAAAATAAATCTTGAAAAAAAAAAGAAATTTTAAAGTCCAAAAAAGGCACAAGGTAGGATTTTTTTTTTTTTTTTTAAGATCCTGGAATCAGGACCTGAGCTGAAGATAGATGGCCTAACTGAGATGCCCAGGAGCTCCCACACAAGGTAGGATTAAGAAAAAAGTCCAGCAGGATAAAGAGAAGGGGGTACACTAATAACAGAAGATAGAAGGAACAACTCAAGAAAACCACTGAGTTCCAAGACATCACACATAGTACCTGGCAGCTCTACATCACTGTGACAGCAGTCTCTTCCCACTTGGAACAGGGGAGAAACAAAGAATATTAAAAAGGAATAATTTCTGAGTGTCTACTGCATGTTAAATACTGTTATGAGCACACACAGTGCAGATATGATCCGTGGTTTGAAAGAGAGGTCTTCCAATCCTTCATGTTTCTTTTCATCTCTCATGTAACATGTTGTATAGAAGATAACCTTTGTTCTGTTGCTTACATAATAGACTGCTTTAGAACAAACACACACAGAGAACCAAGCTGCCAAGATTAAGGATATTATCACTGTTACCCAACTATATTTCTCCCAGCTATGCAGTCACCCCAGTTTGCATTGCTCCATTTTGAATGGGTTCTTGTCCTAATTATCTCACTAAGTCCGGCTTCCCAATGGCATTTGGGCAGATCTGTCAAGTGAGCTCCCACCAGAACTGTGGAAGTGCACTGTCCGCTATTATTCTTTTTTTTTTTAAGATTCTATTTATCTGAGAGACAGCAAGCTAGAACAGAGGGAGCACGAGCAGGGAGCACGATGGGGAGAGGGAGAAGCAAACTCCCTGCTAAGTATGGAGTCCAACTTGACTTGGGGCTCAATCCCAGGACCCCAGGATCATGACCTCAGCCAAATGCAGATGCTTAACCAACTGAGCCACCCAGGTGCCCCTGCTATCATTTTCATATAGATATCATAATAACAGTAACCAATGACAAAAGTCTTATATTTGTACAATACTCTATAATGAACTCTCACATACATCACCTAGTCCTACCAATAGGACTACCTACCAATAATGCTGTTGGCATTATTTTTTTTAATAAAGATTTTATGTATTTATTTAACAAGTAGGCAGAGCAGCAGGCTGGGGGGGATTTGGGGGGGGAGAGCAGGCTTCCCGATGAGCAGAGAGCCTGATGCGGGGCTCGATCCCAGGACCCTGAGATCATGACCTGAGCTGAAGGCAGAGGCTTTAACCCACTGAGTCACCCAGGCGCCCCTGTTGGCATTATTTTTAACATTTTACACGTGATAAAAATTAAGGCTCAGTTGAAGGGGTCTATTATATTTAACCACATCTGTCTTAATTAAGAACTTCAGCTGTATTAAAGGGGAATGTTTCTGTAGGGTTGTTGTTGCTCCTGTTTCCAACTTCAAAACATTGCTGCAGCTTAACTTTATTTCCCATCACCAGTGTTCCTACTTATGACCGTATGTCTCAAGATAAATCCTTAGAAGTGAGGCTCCGGACCAAGTATTATGTTTTTAAACTTTAATAAAATGTCCTTTAAATGTTCATTTATTTTTTAAATTAAGACTCAGAGAGGGGCACCTGGGTGGCTCAGTGGGTTAAAGCCTCTGCCTTCGGCTCAGGTCATGATCCCAGGGTCCTGGGATCGAGCCCCATATCGGGCTCTCTGCTCGGCAGGGAGTCTGCTTCCTCCTCTCTCTCTCTGCCTACTTGTGATCTCTGTCAAATAAATAAATAAAATCTTAAAAAAAAAAAAAGAAGACTCAGAGAGTTCTCACCTGAGGTCTCATTAAAAAAAAGAACAGGACTGAGACTCAGGTCTATAGATTCTCAAATCTCATTCTGCTCTGTTACATCATTTTTCTGTGGCTACAAAATGAAGCGTGTGCACCTGAAAACTTACCAAGCAGCCAGCTATCTTTGTGTATTCCAGCTTCGAAATGACTACTGAGGGAAGACTGCTGCAGCACAGCATAGTCCTGAAGGCTGCCTGGCCAGTTGGTCTCCACAGTCATTAGTGCCCCTCTAATGTCACACACCATCAGGCAGTTTAAAGAATGCAATCCTTTGCGATTCACATAGGAAAGGTCTTCAGCATTCGGTGCCTTGATTGCCACATGGATACAGTCAACCACCCCTATAACCCCTGGCATCCCGGCCAACCCATAGAATTCATCCTTTAGAGCCTGCACGGAGGCTTCATCTGCTGGAAAGCGAATGAACTGTGTGGCTCTTTCCACAAGTGCTTCGGTGACATTGGCAACACAGCGACTCATAGATGCCTGACTGATTCCAATAGCATCTCCCATCCGAGTCTGGAAGGAACCTGAAGTATAGAAGCCCAGTGCTGCAAGGATCTGTGTCTCTGGGCTGATAGCTCTGGACCTCTGAGTAGGTCTAGAAAGACTTGCTCCCAAGAGCTCCACCAAGTAATAAATGAACTGTCGAGGAAACCCATACATGGACATCAAGTATTCATCAGTCACGTCATCCAGCTTAAAGCGGTCCAATGTCCGGTGACCTCGGCCATAGAGCAAGAGATCACAGTCAAGTACTGTTATTGGTATAGCCATGGTACATGTAAATGTGATTTCTCCTTCCCTCTGCTACTTTTCCTGAATTTCTCTCAGTGAAGATGTTGGTGCAAGAAGGTATTTAAAGAAGTGTCAGAATTCAGCAGCTAACCATCAGTTAAATGGCTCTGGCATTTGTAATCTTCTCTCTGTAAAGGTTAAAAGAAAAAAAGCATTAGAAAACGACCAAAGACTTTAAAGTGATTCAAAGGCTACAACAGCTCCTTTTCTCAAACTTCAATCTGTCCAGGCAAAAGGTGCCATACCTGTAAATCTGGGTTTTTCTCCACTAACACATGGCTGCACAATAGGCTTACTGTGGTTTGAAAGATAATGGGAGTTGTTTTGTATGTAGCAGAGCAGCTCCCTCGACCCTACAGTTTGAAGGAAGGAAGAAAAGAAAGAAGGAAAAGAAAATGTGAGATGATTTTGATGGCTCACTTAATGCTTGACATTTGAGCCCCAACAGCACAAGATTAATGGAGGAGGGGCACCTGGCTGGCTTAGAACCAAGGGGAGGGTCTCTTCATCTCTGGGTTTTAACTTCCAGCTCCATGTTGGATGTAGAGATTACTTAAAAATAAAATCTGAAAGAAAAAAAAAAAAAGATTAATGGAGGCGAGAGCGTAATTATCCGTAAAGTAAAAGAGGTCTGCACTTAACTACACAGGCCACAAACTGGCTGACATAAGTCTTAACTATGCAGGTCAGGAATTAGTCACGCCCGGTTTCATTACCCAAACCTTTTGGCTCCACCTGGTAAGTACGAGAGGGACGTGTGGGGTGCTCAAACCAGTCTAGCAAGACAGGTGTGGGCAAAAAACTGCCCGCAATCCAGCCAGGTGGACACAGATCGTGTGCTCAAACAACAGGCCATGCCTTCTCCCCACGAAATCCAAATCGTGAGGCTGAGGGCCAGGAAGCACGAAAGCCCAGACAGTTTAGAAAAAAAAGCGCAAAAGAGGCTAGATGAGTTAGAGCTGGGAGGCGACTCCGCACTTATAAAAGGTGCCTTAGAAAAGATACGTAGAAATCTGATTGCGCCGGCCACTCAAAGTCAGCGAAGGCCCGTCACCCACCTCTCCGCTGCTGCGGCGTTACCAGCAGCACTTCCCACCCACCCAGCCGGTCCGGCCCTGCACTGGAACCAGCGGCCTCCAACTGGCCGCCACGCCGCTCACCATAGGCACCGCCCCCTCGCGTCAGCGGTCTCCCCACGCCGCGTCCTCACAGCCGCTTCCGCGGCAGCGTGAGGTTCGACGGCGCACATTCCACAGTTAACCCAAAAGTTTTCACTCTTTCAAAGACCCTCCGCCCCCCGCCTTTACGCCGTTCTTTCCTTCTGAGACACTTGGAAAAGTTAGCGAGAAAGATTTACATGGAAAGGAAATCAACTTTTATGGGAATTAAGAAGAAAGGGATGAAATAAGGAGTCCATCCTGTAGCGAAAGTGCGGATGAGGTTACGCAGCTGTATTTCCCCCATAGCCCTCTTCCTCCCCCCGCCTTCATCCGAGCGGATGAAAACAAACACTAACGATGGCGGCGCCGGGAGGCGACCGGCTGCGGGGCTTCAGGCAGTGGTGATCGATAGAGCTGTGAGGGCACTCTAGAAGAACGCGACTCAACGTGAGTGCGACAACTCGCGCAGTCCTGTGACTGAAACACCCGGGGCCCACGAACCACGAGCCTCCTGAGTCGTGAAGTGTCTATCTGCGACCCCTGCTGTCCCCGCAGCTTCGGAGCGCAGGAGTCCTCATCCAAGAGACGCAGCTGGCCGGCCCCAGGCCCCGGCCTCCGTAATGAGAGCCCCGAGCCACTCTCTGTGTCGCAGCTTTGCAGGTACTAACTTTAGTGGGGATACCCCCAGAACATTCAGCGCCCCCGGGTGGGAGGCAATGGATCTGCGGCCTAACGGGTACCTCCTTGTGAGGACTAAGCCAAGTAGCCCCAGTACAGTCCCTAGACCTTTCTTTGGGAAATCGGGTTGGTTTAGGCCCCCTTGGCTCTCGATGGCCCCTAGTCTTAACAGAAATCCACAAAGCTTTCGTCTCTACTTTCTCAGCTCTTTGGGTTATCTCGTAAGGTTTTTGGAGGTAATTTGTGGGACTCTAACTCCGGGGTTGGTGCCAATATGAGTGAGGTACGTTTTCATTCAATCAAGATTTTTTGGGAAGAAAACAAAACAAAACAAAACTTGCTGAGTGCCAAATATGTACTCCGCGTGTAGGTGAGGGTGACTGTTGACTAGTGAAAAAAGGGACCCCAAGGTTCACGACTGTCTTCTTACTGGCAGTGGAACGACTTGTGGAAACCGGCGATCCGTTCTCATTTAATAAATCTCTGGGTAAGTGGCTAAGCACCTTTTGGGGTTCATCACTAACTCATCTCCGTTTTCACTTTCCAGATCAGTTCTCAGCTTGCCCTGTCAATTGAGCGTAGCATTTCACTTTTAGTATTTTCCGTTTAGAGAGAGAGCGAGCGAGCTGGATCATTGTACTTAATTTAAAACTCATCTGCTAAGATGGTAGAATTTATTGAACACTTACAGTAGGAAATGTGCAATAATACACAACAGACCCTTTCTTTTTTTTTTTTAAGATTTTATTTATTATTTGACAGACAGCACAAGTAGGGAGGGGGGGAGGCAGGCTTCCTGCTGAGCAGAGAGCCCGATGCGGGGCTCCATCCCAGGACCCTGAGACCATGACCTGAGCCGAAGGCAGACGCTTTAACCCACTGAGCCACCCAGGCGCCCCTCTTTTTTTTTTTTTTTTAAATATTTTATTTATTTATTTGACAGACTGAGTTCACAAGTAGGCAGAGAGACAGGCAGAGAGAGGAGGAAGCAGGCCTCCTGCTGAGCAGAGAGCCTGATGCGGGGCTCGATCCCAGGACGCTGGGATCATGACCTGAGCGGGAGGCAGAGGTTTTAACCCACTGAGCCACCCAGGCGCCCCCAACAGACCCTTTCTTTACACTAAGTTTATTTCTAGGTTTTCTTATGTTTTATGAATGTTAGTCCTTTTTATGTTTGGCTGTTGTGGCCCCAACTAAATTATAAGTTTTGTTTTCATCTCCATTTTTCAGCTGAGCAGACATAAATGCTTGTGAAATGGAATCCTGAGTTAATATTTTTAATGCACTGTGAATGATGAGTAAGTGCTGAAGCAGGTATCAAATATATTGATCCGTATAATGAGATGAATGTAGTTAATTCATGCACTGTTTTCAAATTATACCCTTTTGGGTGTAAAGTTAAGGATATGGCAACTTTTGAGATTCATATTTCATAAAAATTGCAAACCACTGGGTTTTCCATTATTGTACTTAACATGTAACTCTTTTTATTGTGCATTTGTATTTTTTCCTTAGGAGTGGTTATTAAAATTGAATTTTATTTTATTTATTTATTTTAAATATTTTTATTTATTTGACAGACAGATCACAGGTAGGCAGAGAGGCAGGCGGAGAGAGAGAGGAGGAAGCAGGCTCCCCACCGAGCAGAGAGCCCGATGCAGGGCTTGATCCCAGGACCCCGGGATCATGACCCAAGCTGAAGGCAGAGGCCCTAACCCACTGAGCCACCCAGGTGCCCCTGAAATTGAATTTTAAAAATTGAACCAAAAACTGTAGATCTTGAGCTCTAAACACTCCCTATTATATTGTTTTATATAAGGACTAAGAATCGGCTAGACACAGTGAAGTCCTACCATATGTGCATAATGGGATTATACTGTATGGAGGTGGAGGCAAGAAATCTTTTCCGTTGTCTTTCCTGCCCCCATCTGCTCTGATTTAGCTGTATTAGCTTAGGACCTCCATGACTCAGAGCAGGTTGCCCATAGCCTAAATGCAAAAAGAAGACATTAACTTTGAGCTTTCAAAGACCTAAGTCCTACTGTATGAGTGATTTTTTGAAGATAATTTTGACTATTCAGAAAAAGTACCCACTTGATAAGGTACATTCCCAATATTCTGCATTTATATTTTGTTCAAATGGGAATGGAAGGTTTGTTTTGGAATCTTTATCTGGAGAGAAGTTATTTAGTCTTAGCAATACCTAAAAACATCAGAAATTTCATTTTTAAAGATTTATTTATTTGAGAGAGAGGGAGAGTGCTGGCACTCCTGCACTGGGGAGGAGCAGAGGGGGAAGAGTCCCAAGGGGACTGGGCACTGAGCACTGGGCGACTTGGGTCCTGATCTCATAATGGTGAGATCAGACCTGAGCCGAAATCAAGGGTCCTGCACTTAACTGACTGTGCTACTACCCAGGTGCCCCTGAAACTTGTTTTAAATACTTCTTTTCCTTTTAAAACATTTTCTACTTTGTTATGGAAGAGATGAATAATGATAACACTGGTTGGAGTGCTGCTTAGATTACAAAATGAAGAGTACACCTAAAAAAAATTCCTCATTATGACCTTTGTTTTTCAACTTAGTTTTCACTTTTATTTTTTATTTTTTAATGGCTTGCATGTTGATTTTTTTTTTTTTTAGCATTTTATTTATTTGACAGACAGCGAGACCGGAAACACAAGCAAGGGGAGTTGGGAGGGAGAAGCAGGCTTCCCATTTAGCAGCAAGCCTGACTCAGGGCTCCATCCCAGGATCCTGAGATCATGACCTGAGCCACCCAGACACCCTTTGTATGTTGACTTCAGAGTCTTCAAATACATGTACCTTACTAAAAGCTAATTTTTTTCCTAAAAGTTAATTCTTTAATAAAGTTTACTTAGATTTTATATGTGGATAATTTGGAAGTAATTTCCCAAATGGGGTGTTGAGCTGAGTAAAGCACCATTTTCTCATGCATGGGTTTAATAGATGAGAGGGTGTATGGGTTGCTGGTTCTTGCTTTCTCGCAAATTGTGGAGACTAGTAAAAGCTCTTTAAGTGGTCCTTGATAGGATAAGGGCATTACAGCCAGGAAGAATGCAAAGGAGACTCTCTAGGCCTCTCTGCCCATGGACTGTCAACAAAGTTTTCTTTCAGTTTGGGTTTTAAATCCTAAAAGGATTTTAAATCCTTACAGGAATGTAAAATTAGTTTAAATCTTTCAAATCCTTAAAGGGATTTAAAATTAATTTAAAATAGTTGTTTTTAACTATAAACTGGGCCAGTTTACTAGAGAAATCCTTTAAATGACACTGTAGGTAACACAGGAAATTTGTTTTGCCTTCATGGTGTCCCCCATATATCTTTGGTTACAAGAGAAGGGCACCACTACTTAGAAAAACAACTTAGTTGACTATCTGACAGTAGTATCTTCTTAGTAAAATAAAGGTAAATAAAGAATTTATAGAAGTGCTAACTTAATACTATTATTTTGGAAAATGCTGCTTTCACTTTTGAGTTTTGATTCATACAAATGTGAAAGAAATACAGAGTTTAAAATCCTTTTATATTCTCTCCTGTGTTAAGGTTTGTTTGTTCTCCAGCCCCTCCAATTCCTCCTGTATTGTCCACAACTATTAAGTCATTAGGAGAGAGATTATATTGAGAAATACTGAGATTTAGATGTCCTCTTTTAAGTAGAAGTTTAAGGGTGTTTTTACTCCTGAATCTATTTCTATTGGAATGTTCAAGAGACCAGATATTTGGCCTTACTTATTCTTCAAAATAAATAGTTAATTAAGGTTGGCTTTATTTTATTTTATTAATTTTTTTATTTTAAAGATTTTATTTATTTATTTGACAGACAAAGATCACAAGTAGACAGAGAGGCAGGCAGAGAGAGAGGAGGAAGCAGGCTCCCCACAGAGCAGAGAGCCCAATGTGGGGCTCGGTCCCAGGACCCTGGGATCACGACCCGAGCCGAAGGCAGAGGCTTTAACCCACTGAGCCACCCAGGCGCCCCGAGCCTGGCTTTATTTTTACTTTCACCTCCCATTTTCTTTCAGTTTATTTTACTTCTGGTTTCTTAAATTGAATACTTAAGTTTTTAAATTATAAAGTCATTTAAGGCTATACATTTTCTTCTGAATGTTCCTTTTGCTGTATCTCATTTTTTGGTTGTCAGATATTCTCCATTTTGTTTATTTCTAGGTAATTGCAATTTTGGTTTTTATTTCAGTGTCTATTATAAAAAACTTCTTAATTTATATGTGGTTAACTTTTTGTTGTATATTTCTAGTTTATTGGATTATGGGCAAAAGCATCTTGGAAATTTTTTTTAACAGTCAAGAGCACGATTAATTTATTATATTCCTTGAACCTGAGAGAAGAATGTGAAAGGTTGAGTTAGATAACAAGGTCTTTATTGAAGGTCTCATATATGTAGCAAGTACTCTTTATAGGAACCATCTCATTTAATCCTCACCACAATCCTATGAGGTAGGTATTACTTACTGACATTTTATAAGAAAGGGATTTGAGGTATAGAAAGATTGAGTGACTTGCCCAATATACCATTACATATATTGAAACTTGGTTTTATTATTCAGATCCTCTATGTTTTTGTTTATATCTACTTGAGCTGTTGTCAAAGAGGTATGTTGAATCTTCAGGTATCGTTTTGGTTTGATCAAGCAAACTCTCGAGTAGTAACTCTAGGAATTTTTGCTTTATATATTTTATTGCTTTATTACTTCTGTGTAAAGTTTATGGCAATTATATTTTCTGAGAGTATTTTGTCATTATTCAATATCCCTTTTAATCTAATTTCATCACTTTTGGCCTAAAATGCTGCTATAAATATTGCTACTTTGGCTTTCTTTTTCTTTTCTTTCCTCTTCCCTTTTTTTTTTCCTTAAGCTGAGTATATCTGTGCTGTTTCTTTCTTTTTTTTTTTTTTTAAGATTTTATTTATTTATTTGACAGAGAGAGATTGATCACAAGTAGGCAGAGAGGCAGGCAGAGAGAGAGGGGGAAGCAGGCTTCCTGCCGAGCAGAGAGCTTGATGTGGGGCTCGATCCCAGGACCCTGAGATCATAACCCAAGCCAAAGGCAGAGGCTAAACCCACTGAGCCACTCAGGGCCTCCTGTACTTAGCTATTTTTTCTTAAATGTTACTGATTTGCCATATTGAGCTTTTTATTCTGAATCTAAAACATTAAAAAACTCTGTTAAAAACTGGAAAACAGAGGTGCCTGGGTGGCTCAGTCCGTTAAGCGTTTGCCTTTGGCTCAGGTGATGATCCCAGGATCCTAGGATTAGGCCTCAGGTCAGGCTCCTTGCTCAGTGGGGAATCTGCTTTTCCCTCACCCTCTACCCCTATGCCTGCTTGTGTGCTTGCTCTCACTCTATCTCAAAGAAATAAATAAAATCTTTAAAAAAAGAAAAAAGAACCTGGAAAACGTTATTTTTTTAGTAAACTTTAGTTATCCCCCCCTTTTTTTTTTT